CAATACTTATGTCTGACATAATAGACTTTAAAACAAAGGTGATAGCAAGAGACAAAGAAGGTCTCTTATGTAAATACATAATACTAATATGATCCGACAAGAGGCTGTAACCCTTGTAAACATATATACCAAACACAGGAGCACCTGAATAAAAGAAGAAAATCTAGGCAGACTTTGAGAAAGAAAGTGTCAGCAATACGGTCATAGTAGGGGATTTTAATACCTCACTGTCAGCAACAGATAGATCTTCCAGACAGAAAATCAGCAAGGAAACAGCAACCTTAAATAATGCCCTAGGTCAAATCAATTTCATTGATAATTACAGAAGATTTCATCCCAAAACAACAGATTATACATTCTTAATTGCACATGAATCATTCTCAAAGATATACCACATGTTAGGACAGAAAATAAGTCTTAACAAATTTGAGAAAACTGAAATGATATCAAGCACTTTCTCAGATCACAATGGCATGATACTAAGAAATCAACCTCAATTGCAAAAACTCAACACATTCAAATACATGGAGGCTAAATAGTATGTTATTAAATAATGAATGGGTTATCAATGAGATCAAGGAAGAAATACAAAATTACCTGGAAATAAATAAAAAAGACACAGAACAACCCAAAACCTATGAGACACAGAGAAAACTGTGTTCCTTGAGAGGGAAGTTCATAGCATGACAGGCTTACCTCAAGAAGCAAGAAAAATCTAAAATAAATAATTTAACCACACACCAGAAAGGGTTGGGAAAACAACAACAAACAAAGCCCATAGTGAATAGAAGAAAGGACTAATCAAGATCAGAGTAGAAATAAATAACATAGAGACTAAAGATCAATGAGAAAGATCAATAAATCCAAGAGCTGGTTCCTTGAAAAGAAACAAAATAATGAACATTTAACCAGGTAGCTGTAAGGGTTTAATTTCCAAAATTTATAAAGGACTTATATGACTCAACACCAGGGTGACAAACAACCCAATTAAAAAATGGAAAAGGACCTGAATAACACTTCTCCAAGGAGGACATACAGATATCCAATATACATATGAAAAAATACCCAACATTGTTAGCTATCAGAGAGATGCAAATAAAAAACCACAATGAGACATCACCACACACCTGCCAAAATGGCTATCATTGACAATTCAACAAACAACAAGTGCTGGGGGAGGATGTAGAGAAAAAGGAACCCTAGTGTACTGTTGGTGGAATGCAAACTAGTGCAGCCATTGTGGAAAACAGTATAGAATTTCCTCAAAAAAATTAAAAATGGAAGTGCCTTTTGGCCCAGTGATCCCACTTCTTGGAATCTATCCTAAGAATCCCGAAACACCAATTCAAAAGAATATTTGCATGCCTATGTTCATAGTTAGTATTATTTACAATCACCAAAATCTTCTAACAGCCTAAGTGCCCATGAGTAGATGAGTGGATCAAAAAGCTGTGATACATTTACACTTTGGCATACTATGCAGCAGTAAAAAAGAAGGAATGCTTACCTTTTGTGACAGCATAGATGGATCTTAAGACTACTATGCTAAGTGAAGTAAGACAGTCAGTGAAAAACAAATACTATATGATCTCACTTATAAGTAGAATCTAATGAACAAAATAAACTAATGATAGCTTTAAGAGAAAAGGGAATGGTAGAGATGGGTTGAAAGAAGGCAAAGGGCTTAGCCAAAGAACATACATGCATGACCTGTGGACATGAACAGTGGTGTGGGGATTACCTGAGAGGGTGGGGGGAGGCTAGGTAGAGGGTGGCAAGAAGGCAAGACTGGGACAACTGTAATAACATAAAAAAATACAGCATGGATGGAACTGGAAAACATTATGCTGAATGAAATAAGCCAGGTGGTGAAAGACAAATACCATATGATCTCACCTTTAACAGGAAGCTAAACAACAAAACAAACAAGCAAGCAAAATATAACCAAACACACTAAAATAGAGAACAGGCTGATGGGGACCAGAGGAGAGAGGGGAGGAAATTTCAGGGGAAAAGGGGAAGAAGGGTTTACAGGAACGAGTATAAAGGACACATGGACAAAAACTAAGGGGGGGATTGAAGGGAGGTGGGGAGCATGGGGGGCGGTGAGCTGGGAGGGGAGTAAAAGACAGAAAACTGTACCTGAACAACAATTAAAATAAATAAATTAAAAAATAAATAAATAAAACATTAAAAATAATATTAGAAAATAAGATAAAATTTAAAAAGTTTATTAAGAGATTAATGAAAGAAAAATTCTTAGGTGAAAAAATGTAGCATGTGAAATAATTACAACTATCAAGAGGAAAAAAAATCACCAAAAATTGTCTATATTTCGCTCCCACCCCCCACTGCCTCCACACACACAAACAAAGAGATGAGGGAAATACACTTATATATCTTTCAGTATTTGAGTATGTGGTTTCACATTATTTTTTCAAAGTTTCTGCACTGTCTTGAAGTTTTCTATCAATTTTTATTTCTGATAAGGGAATATATGTATATATACATACATACATATATAATAAGTGTCTTGTATCTTATATAAAATAAGATACAAGAAATCCCATATTTACAATATCTTAATTTTGGATGGGGAGAAGGATGCTGCAAGTAGCCCTGAGGTTCTCAATTCTATCAGCATATTTGATTCACAAGAAGCTTTTATCCTGACTCTAGAAACCCACCCCTGACAAATTAAGTCACAACATCTGGGGAAGAGCCTAGGAATAGTTACTTTAAAGCTGGCCAAAGGGATTCTAATATGCAGCATGGCCTGAGAACTACTTAGGAGACCTCTTGAATCAGTGCTTCTTCAACCTTAAAGTGCAAATGAGTCACCTGAGAACCTTGTTAATATGTAGCCCCAGTAGACCTGGGGTGGAATTCAAGACTCTGCTTTTCTAACAAGCTCCCTGGTGATGCTGATGCTACTGATTCAGGGACCAAGTGCTGAACAGCAAGGCCTTCAATCTTACCAACTGCAGGCACAATAATTCATTCACATTTTATATCCTTTCATTATTGTAACCATGGCTGTGAGATAGGTGCTATTATTCCTCCCTATTTCACAAACAAGCAAGCAGGAGCTCAGAGGAGTGATACCCAAAATCTGATTGACTTTGTGACTGCAACCAGCCCTTGCATCTATCTCTCTGTGCTGCAGAGAGAAAACCAATAAGTTGAGGCCTTACAAATAAATGCAGAAAGATTCAGGTTAGATAATATTTGAGCCTACAAAATCTCAAATGATTAACTAAAAAAAACTGAGATGTTGATAAAAGACTTGACTCAAATTAACAAAAGTTAAATAGTAGCTAAAGCATACATTGTTTTGAGGGTTTCTCTCTCTCCGATTTACTATTTGTCTATTATGGTAAAATATATGTAATATAAACTTTGTACTTCCCTCATACCATTCTTTGACATACTTATTGGTCATTTATCTTTATTGAATTTTTTATTATTTTGTTAATGCTCACCCAAGGATCTGTTTATTGATTTTAGAGAGAGAAGGCACAGAGAGAGAGAGAGAGAGAAATAAAGGGAGGAAGAAAGAGAGAAACACGGATTGTTTTCCTCCCGTAGACACTCCAACCGGAGATCAAACCTGCAACCTAGGTATGTGCCCTAACTCAGGATAGAACTGGCAACATTTTGGTTTATGGGACTACACTTCAACTAACTTAGCCACCTGGCCAGAGCCATATATCTCCTCTAGAGAAATGTTTATGTTTAAGTCCTTTGCCCATCTGAAAATTAGGTTGATTGTCCTTTTCTTGTGGTGTGTAGGAGTTTTTTTAATATATTCTCCATATTAAATTCTTATCAGATATATGATGTAAATAATTTCTCCCACTCTCAAGGTTGTCTTTTCACTCTCTTAATAGTCTTCAGTATTTTCCCCAATTATGAAATAAATACATGCTTGGTTAGAAACTTTGGAAAGTATTAAACAATGAGTTCCAAAAAGTACAAAGAATCAAAAAAAAGCACTCATAGTTTCAGCTGAAAGTTAACTATGTTTCATATTTTGGCATATTTTTTCATCATTAAAAAAATTTTCACAGTTTATTTGAGCCAAACTTACAACTGATGGGGAGAAAAATCTCAAATGCGCCCTGCGTCACTTTTCATCTTTACATTTACTTTATATATTTGAATCAGTCTTTATGTATAGTGTTGAATTCTATTGTTTTGTGTGTGTTTCCCTTAACATACTACAACCATTTACTAAGTCACTAAAAATCTGTAAACATAATTTTAATGTTTGCACATATTCTACTGTATGGATACACAGTAATTTACTTAAACAGTGCCTAAGGTTGAAAAAAGTTATTTCCAAGATTTTTCTATTAGCAATAGCACTGAAATGAGCATCTTACTGTCTGGATTCCTCATTTTCTTCCCATATAATAAAATTTTTACAAGTAGAATAATAGACTGCAGGGTTTGCAGCAATCCCTTGCTTAAAGCAGAGTCTTCTGCTAAAATGCAAATATTCCTGGGAAGGTCATCATGCCTTAGTCATCTGAACAGGCACTAACCACTCTTTGAACATAATTTTGGATCTGATAGCAAGGTATAATTCTAAAAAGTGATAGAAGTTCAGGATATGTTTATTAATGGTAAAGGAAGGTGGGGGAAGGTAAGAACAGGAGCAGAGACAATTCTGAAGTGAGGGATTACCCTGCATAGAGCTCAGGAGGACTTGAAGGGCATTGAGCACAGGGGGCAGAGAGGGCAACAGGAAAGTGTGAGCACAGGAATAGACGAACTTGGCATGGCATCGTTTTGTCTGAGGCTCTGGTTGTATCTGTAAATGCTTTTTGCAGGATGTACGGATTTTTTGACCAGGTAGGTAAGGCTGCTTGACTGGTGACAAGGTGAACATGACTGTGAATTCACGAGTGTCATCTGAAATTTTAGTGACCAAGTCTTTCTATACGGCTGAGTATTCCCACTCCCATAAAGATACTGAACACCAAATGCTAACTTACCCCTTTGAGAAGGAACTTGCAGTCTGGAGTTAAGAACAGAAAATTCTCCTTGGAACAATTAGTTTGCTGAATTAAGTAAGTAACTTTATAGTTCCATCCAATCACCATCTGAAACAATTTTGAATTGAATAGTTAAATAGCAGTTTAAACATTATTCAGTGTTATGAGGAGCTTAGAATACTGCCAGGCATATCACAAGTACACAAACATATAAACTATTATTTTTTATTAAAATTATTTATCTATTTATTTTTAGAGAAAGGAAGGGAAGGAGAAAGAGAAGACGAGAAACACTGAGGCTTGAGAGGAACATCAATTAGTTGCTCCTTGTACACCCCCAACTGGGGATGTGGCTGGCAACCCAGGCGTGTGCCCTGAGCAGGAATCAAACTGTCGACCTTTCAGTTTGTGGAATGATGCCCAACCTACTGAACCCCTCTAGTTAGGGCTATAAACTATTATTACTAGGCAAAAGTCTGACCGAATAAATACTGAGCACTTTATGACTCTCACACCCTTCAACACACACACACATACACACACACTCCTCATCTGTAAATGAAAAGCAATATGTAGGTGGAATTACTGTATATTCTTATTTAATTCCTAACAATATTTTTTCTTCCAGGCAGCAGAAAAATTATATTCCATTGAATTATGTGAAATATTAATAATGCTCTTTTAGATGGTTAAGGAAAACTTTGGAGTGTCAGTGGTCTTTGCTGGTAGGTTCCCATGTTCCCAGATTGTCAGAAAATGACTTCTCTTCTGCTTTATCCTGGCCTAGCCCTACACTGTTAGCTGGATACAGACATAACTGAGCAGAACATGTGTTTTGCATGAAGGCAAGTTTGAAGGTCTAGTAAAAACAGAAAATGTTACTGACCAAAGTGAGTCTCTAGTAATTACACGCTGAAATACAAGGAATCCAGAAACACTGAGTGAACAGAGTCAATGGAAAGACCAGCTTTAGAAGTATTCTCTTTTTTTGTGTGTGATGATATGAAAACTATACTTTAGAAGGCACACAGAAACCCATGCCAAACTTTTCAGGTACCATTTAATATTTTGGAGCCATGTTTGACTCATATCTAGGTGACAATGTATTTCTTAAAACCTTAAGGCCAGCCTTGGCTAGTGTGGCTCAGTTGTTTGGATCGTCATCCCATAACCTGAAAGACTGAGCATTCCATTACTGGTCAGGGCAAATATATAAGTTGTGCGTGCAGTCCTCAGTTGGGGTACATGGGAGGGGCAACCAATTGAGGTTTTTCTCTTACATTGATGTCTTTGGCCCTCTCCATTTATTTCCCCCTCATGCCCTCTCATTCTAAAATTCGTAAGATAGTCTTCAGGTGAATAAATAAATACATGCATACATACATAAATACTTAAAAGGAAAAAAAATCACTTAGAGCCAGAAAGATCTTTTCATTTCACCATCTCTAAGAACACCATGTAATGCTAACTACCTATTTATTAAAGCAATCTCAGAGCAAGGGGTCTCTCTAGCCCTACTATTCCCCTTTACCTATTGCAGTATCTGAATCATTTTGACTTAAACGTAAAGATCTAATAAATTTTAACAATTCTATGCAAAATAAAAACTGAAAGAACAAACCTGTTTCTCTGCCTGTTTCACTTCTTTCAGGGCAAAGAGGTGAGAACGGTCAGTGCGGTTGTTAAAATGTTGAATGGCGTGTCTCAGAAAGGGTTCCAAGTCCGGGCTGGCAGTTGAGATGGGGTGCACACAGCCAAAGCAGTCATACTGGGATGTCACCACAGGGCCCCCGGCTTGACAAAGAAGGGCAGGCAAAAGGGCAGTGTTAATGAGCAAAATTCGCATTGAAACACTTTACCCTAAATATGTAAGGTAACTTCAATGACCTTGGTAGACAAACTTCCTAATAAGTTTTAATATATTAGAAAAAGAGAACATACTCCTGCTTTTCAGTCAGCCAGAAGAAAAAAAACCTGACAATGACTTAGGAATATCTTATATGCATACTATCATGCATAATTGCTTTCAATGTATTTAAAAGTCATTGTAAATTATAGAAGTAATACATAAATTTATCAACTTATAAAAATGTAAACCTCTACACATCTATTATTATTTATTTTTCAATGTTAAAGGCTCCTTGAAGCCTGTTGCAGAGTGGAATATGTCCTGTGTCAATTCAATTCAAGAACCATGTCCATGTTTTGCACCTCTTGTCACGTGCCAGGCGCTGAGATAGACTACACAGATGGATACATTTGTTAGTAATTGTCACTGGGGTGAAGGAGTTGGGCAAAGTTGAGTGGGAGAGACAGAACTGTAGAAGCATATTCCATTATACTTTGGCAAGAGCTTGGAAAGACAGTGGCCCAGAGTGAATTCAGGACAGACTTTCCCAAGGAGGAAAGGCTTGAGTCACGAAGGGTGAAAAGCAGACAAGGCCAATTGGGCACCTGAGAAGAAGGTACAAGTGGCTCCCAAGAAAGCAGCATGAGTCAGTCAGGGGCAGCTGTGTAGGACGGGGTGTCTACACATTTACCAGAGCTTAAAGCAGGAAGCAGGCAGTGGTGACTGAGGGGTCAATGGTTGGTAGAGAGAGCCCTCTGCTGCTGGGCATGGGCTTCACTCTGGAGGCCAGGGGTTACACCCTGTTCCAAGGGTAATGGGCTCCTTGGTGCACCTGATGAAAACCATGGCGCCCTCTCCAGGGAAATGCAGGTACTCACAGTGTTCTCCACATTATTTCAGGGTATACAGAGACCCACTGATGTGAATGAAGAATGGTCTGCAGTAACAGTGGGTGCCACTGAAGGGTTTTTTAATAAAATTATAAATATTAAAACAGGACTGAGTTTGTGTTAAGTTACCAAGTTATGTTTATAACAGAGAGCCCTAACCCACTGGTGCACAAGCCATAGAGAGGGGAAAATCGTGAAGGCATCCTGAGCCTCTTCACCTGGGAACTATGGCTGCCTGAGTGTATTCCAGCCAAAGAGAATCAGGAGGCCAGCAGCGCTCTACAACACTGCCCCTCAGTTGGCAGCAGGTCAACACAGCACCCTCTGCCACTGTCTCTTGGCTTTTACTCCACAAGTCAGCTTTCCTCACTGATCCCCTTGCAGAAGCTATGTAGCATCAGGGTAGTGGACAATGTTAAAAAACTGGAGGGGAATTGCAGGGGAAAGGCGAAAGAATTGCTAAGAGGAGAACAAAAGAATGAGAATCATGGGAGATGAAAGGAAGATGGAGAAGGGAGGTAAAGGGAGATGGAGAAGAGAAGAGAGGCTGGTTTGCTGACCTCAAGGGCAGCTCTGACTGGGGTCAGAGAAATGATGGAGCTGCATTTTGAGGGTGAGAAGAGTAGGTTCAAATTCAGTTTTTCTGGGTGACAGAATGCCCAGGGAATTTTCAAGGGAATTTTTTAAAATTAAAATAAAGATTTTTAAAACTTTTTTAATTGTGTTTTTTCTATAATCATTTAGTGCTCTTGTACCCCTTTCCTGCCTGTAATACCCACACTGTTGTCCAGGTCCAAGAGTCCTTTCTCCCTTTTTGAAATCTGAAATATACTTGACCCAAAAGTTTTCAGATAAACAATAGTGGATCTAGTAGTAATTGCGGGCCTAGAAGTTTGGCAAAGAGCTTTTCACCTCATAGTACATAAGGACTGTGCTCTGGAGAATGTGAACATTTACTTATGAGGTAGAGTTCTTCAAATAAGTAACAAAAACCTACTCCAAAACTTGTTCATTTGCTTGTAATGTCCTTTCTATTTGCATTGTATTTCTTGGAATGCCACTTCTTGCAAGAACTGAAGCTCAAGAGATATAGTTTTGTGGGTTCCACATGGATGAGGAAGCCAGGACAGAATAACTGCCCCTCCACCAGCAGCCAAGAGTGATGCTGGTGATGCTGCTCAGGAGCCTCATATGCTGAAACCCTCTCTTGCAGGAGGCTGGTTCTGAGTTTGCTTCTGTGGTTGGCATTACCTAGATGTGCCCATTCTTCTGCACCCAGGCACTCTGCCACCATCCTACAAGGTCTGTATACTGCCTCTGCTAAGTGCTAGCTGTGGCATCTTGGGCAAGACACTTTACTGTGGTTGGCCTCAGTTTCCTCATCTGCAAAATGAGAATATTTACACTTGCCTCATAGAATGTGGGTGAGGATTAAATAAGTCAACATGTGAAGTGATTAGAACTGTGACTGGCAATAAGTGCTCAATAAATATCAGCTATTATTACTCTTATTCTGATTTCCTCAATGCATTATTATGATTGTACCTGCAGGCCTGTCCTCTAGTTCAATCTCCAACAATATTCTGTAGCAATCCCCTTTGATAGGTAAGGAGAAGGGAAACTGGAATGGTTAGCAGCTTCTACATGATTTCAGGCCAGATTGGACCTCAAAGCCTGGCTCTTCTCACTCTATCGTGCCACCTACAATCAATGACAAGTGGTATGTTTTCTAGTACTTTCCCAGGGTTCTTGCACAGGCCTCATACATACAGCACTGTTCTCCAGGAAGAGGGTCGGTTTAGTGCTGAGGAGATTTTTGTCAGGAGCCTGGCCCAAACTCAGGACTCTGCCATCCCCATTCCCTAAAGTCCCACCGAGGCTGCAAATGGAATTGCTGCAGCCACTCTGTTCCCTTGGAAAGGGCCTTTGTCTAGATTCTGCTCCTGGCCTCACAAGAAAATGGTTCATTGCCCCAGGGCAGGGCCACTGGATATGTCAGCTACCTGGAGTGATCTGGCAGGTCTGGGTAGCCACAGTGAACTTTGTATTTCCTCGTTTCCCCACAGTCGCAGTGCATTCTCCTGTGGCCTAAAAAGAGGGAAAAAAGAGAAAGAGAGACCATTTCTGTTAATCTTCCAATGGAGAAGTGCACCTTAGTACTGTTGCTCAGTGTGGCTTTCCTTTAACTAACACTTGTCAAGACTTTTTTCTAATAGAGTTTGGATGCACAAGAATGAATGTTTTTGTAGCCTAATTATTATTATTTACAAGCCACTGATATTCATGAGGCATCGAGAGAAGTGGCAGTATAAACAGGGAGGTTTCAGGTAGCTTTATGTATGGAGCTCTGGAGATACTTCTCTTTCACCAAGATGAACACAATGCCCTAGAATCAGCTGGCTCTACTCTCCTCTTAACTTACTTTTCAACTTCACATTCAAGTACACGCAGTGTACAGGTATTTTGCCATTAAAGAGGTGAGTCCATGCACTGTGGAATGAGTGGCTTGCTTCCAGGCAGATACTGTCTGCAGCCTCCCTCACTTAAGGCCAAACAACCAGCTGTGATGTGACACACAGACGCTAGATACTTGGATAAGATTGCCATTGTTATTAAAATAAGGTCCTTTCATAGTAGATCTCCTTTCATCCTCCTGCAGACAGGTGAGGTCAATTTTACCTCCACTTTACAAGGGATCCCAGTGGTCAGTCAGTTGGAGGCAGAGCAGGATGCAAACTCAGGTCTGTGCAAATTAAGCACCCACAGTATCCCCTACAAGCCTTTGATCTCAGCCCAAATATCAATCTGTTCACTCTCTGAGACCTGGCCCATGTGTCCCAATTGGTCATTAGAGTCCCCTCCTCATGGGAGGGCTTTCCCCACATTTAATGGCTGGCTTCTCCATGTCCTTTCTGTCTAGCCAAGAACACAGACCTTGAGCATTTGAATTTCTAAACATTAGAGGGTTTGTGTGCACCCCCCACAAACAGGCTCACAATACTTATCATCCCCAGCACTGGTGAAATAAATAATCATAGTCCCCACGGAGAAAACTTGAGGTTCCGGAGCATCCCACTTACAGCCTGAGCAGCTTCCTTGTAGTCACAGTCCTGCCACGTTTTGTCACTTTGAACAGGACAGTCTCCCTCCTTGATCTGGTACTTGATGAAATAGAATGGCTTCTGTTCATCCTGAAAAAAGGCAACCAAAGATATGTAGGTCTCATTCAAATGACCCAACACCAAATGATCTCAGTGGAATTGGTGGAGTTGTAATAGTTGATATTGATTTAAATCAATAATATCTAAACATTATTAAAAATATGGAAAGTTATAAATACTCAGAAGAATGTTCATGATATATTTATAAATAGATGTTTTTAAGTCACAAAGTAGTATTCTTAGACTTGGCCTATTTTTATATAAACCAATTCATTTATATATTATTTAATTTATTTTTTAATTAATTTTTAAATGATTTATTTATTTACACTTAGAAATAAGGGAGGTGAATGAGAAGGAGAGGAGAAAGACATTGACTGTTTGCCTCTGGAAATCACCCCAATGAGGGACTAGCATGCAATCCAGCCATGTGCCCTGACCTGAAGTCAAACTGGTGACCTTACCATTTGCCACATGATGTTCAACAATTCCAGTAAGAACAAAGTATGTATATGACATTAAAAGTCTGGAAAGTTATGCAGCAAAGCTATTAAAATGTATGTCTCTCACTCTCTTCTTTACACTAACATTCTTGTATTATGTGTATTTTTTAAAAAACAAATGTATATTACTTCCACAATTAGAAAACAAACACACACAAAAAGGAGAATGTTTTTCATTTTTTAAAAAAATGTTAAGTTGTCCCTGGATAGTACAATTAGGTATGAGTAATTTTAGTATTTTTATTTGCTTTGTTTTGTTTTCTATTTTTTCTAGCATATCACAAAAGAGTAAGTTAAACTTTTAAAGTTCAAGGGTTCTGAGTTAAATGAGCTTTCACATGTAAGGTTCAGTCATGTTGCAGCAGCAAGGGACCTGAGAGGAGATGTTGCCCAGTCCCTCACTTTGCAGGTGAGAAGAAAGAGGCCCCAGTTGATAGGCCACAATAGTTCACACAGCCTCCCACCTTGGAAAGGCCCAGCCAGCCCAGGTCCCAGGCCTCCTGAGTCCCAGAGCAGCCCTCTCTCTGAGCCTGCCTGCCTCAGAGTATTGGCATCTGGGAGATGATGGAGGCAAACAAGGTCAACTCTGAGGTTCCTTCAGGTCTCACATTTCGATGAAGGAATAGGTGGTAGTGGTGTACATAGCAAGGTAAAGAGTGACTCCATGGACATTTGAGAACAAAAGGACACATTTGTTACAGATGTCAGCCAATGAAGACGACACCATTAAATGTTGCTGAGGGCACTAGGCCTCACATGATTATACTAGTTTGTAAATGGAATGGCTCGATTTCATTTTCAGAAAAAGAAAAAATGCCCACTGAGCTTTTTTCTTTCATCTCATCACATCAAATGGCTGAATTTTTTCCTTCCACCAAAGTGAACTATCACAGAGACATGGTGAAATTCATTTAAACAAACTGCTAAAAGATTGTATTTTGTTCTTAACTTTGATTTAGTTTTTTTCAAAAATAATTTGCTTTCTTTTGCATGCCACAAAACAGATTTCTAGTTTCAAAATAGGACACATCAAGAACAGAAATATCCCCCTCCCATACCATCTTCATATTCACCAACACAAGAAATCCTTCTGGAATATAAGCAAGTGACTAAACAGGTATTGAACCACTGAATCTACAGGTTAATACATGACCTGTTAGATCACAAAAAATAACAATTTGCCCCAAAGAAAGATTTTTAGCTTTCCAAATATAAAAGTATCTAAATGGATCATATATGAACAAACAAAAATCTTTTATTCCAGGTTTAATGGTAAAGATGTATAACTTACCGGCAGTGGAGGAAAGCTGAAACTCTTAACTAGTAAATAGATTTAAATTGAGAATTTCTACATTTCTTCAGAAAACAGAACCAAAATTCCTTCTTAAAAATGAGGATCCTGTGGAATGCCTTTACTTCATATTTACCTAATATTGTAACAGTAAAATAGACACCAGAATGTCGATGGCAGCCCAACAATGCTGGATGCAGAACGTTTACATATAACGCTTCTGTCTAAAAGTCCAACAGGTTGATTGACAAAGTCCAGACAGCATGTCACATGATCCCATTTGGTGCCTCTTCTACCATGCTCCAAGATTGTTACATGGATACAGCCAAGGACTGGGCCCCAACTTGCAGCAAAAAGACCACAGAGAAAAATCAGGGTGTTTATTTGGTCCCCACATCACCTGTGTTGTGGAACTAGAAAACAGAAGGTGGAAAACGCAGACTGCCAGGAGTTAAGGAGTTGGAAAAAGTTGGTGGAGAGTGGCCCAGTATATGAGTAAGATCCCTGGGCTTGTGATGGCAGGGGCACTGCAGAAGAGAGCACCCATGGGAACAAGTACTTATATGCCTGCTGTGCCACTCTCCCCATGACCTTGGCATATCTGTATGTGATAATAAGTAGATGAGTTATGTAATAACATGGAGTATTGAAATGTATCTGTCCTGCGGAATGAACCATCACAGAGAGATATACACAATACCATGCACATTCTTTAAGTTTTTTGTATGGGAGTGTTTTGTCTTCAAGACTATCCAGCTTAATTCTCCCCAGGGATTTCCTTGAAGAGGAAAAGTGGTCTTCTGACTGGTTTGTTTAATTTTTCTTTTATCATGAGACAATGATTGGCATTAAAGAAAAATAAAGCTTAAAGTTGCTTAATTTTAATTTTTTTCTCTTCAGTCACACCATTCTGAGTGCTTTAATATAAAGAAAAAATCACACACAACAGCATAAAACCACAATTGTTTTTGATGCATCCAGGTGACAGATCCTCAGGATGCTCCAGATGTTTCCAGGAAACTCTGTAGTTTATGGACTATTGATTCGTCCAGCAACAAAGGTCAAAATCACATACTGTGTTTATAATATGAAAGTGTCAAATTTCTCTATGAGGGTCATGACTGCTATACCATGTTTCTTTCTCCAGCATCATTTACCTTCTGGAAAGCTCTACCAGTTCACCTAGGTATGCTTTGTCACGTTCACCATTCTTTAGTTGCTTATCTGATTTGCTTTGCTTTACTAGACTTTTCAAGAATCTGATTCTTGTTGGTTTTTGATGAGTGTGGCAATGGCTCATGACATAGCGGGAAGAAGCATAACAGCTTCCATTGTTGCTGCCATCACCTTAGCTAACTAACTCCTGGACTTGGGCTGTCTCTTCTATTTACTAGTCTCTCCATTATGAATACATAATCATTATTCTCTGCCTTGTCTGATTCCTCCCAGTTTTCATCAGAATGCAGATCTTTCATGATAGACCTAAAGAACTTTGCTGCCTCATCTGGAACTGTGTGAAGCTGGTCCTGAAATCGGAGCTGGAGTTGGAACTGGAGCTGGAACTGGAGTGGAGCTCACAGGACTGGGTTGTACAGGGCTGTGCTCCAGTGGAGGGAAGGTGGCCCAGAGCAGTCCAGAGCCACACAAAGATATATTGGGCCATTGAGTCCCTGGCAGAAGGCCAAAGAGACAGCTGCCCAGATTCCCCCAATCAGCTGTGACCCTCTCCCACTCAATCCAGAGACCCCACCCCTCTGGGTCTGAAAGTTTGTATTTCTTGGAATCACACATTCTTTCAGGATTTACCTTCATCCTGAGTGTATCAACCAGTGATTAAAACAATATTCAAAACCAAATAGAACATCACTATTACCCTTTATGTGTTCAGCAATAGGAAATTTTTAGCAGATATGCTGTCAAATACAGCAGAACCACATGAATCTCATTATGACTCCTCTTAGATGTACTTCACCGCCCCTCATTACCCTAGCTTTATTATGGTATAATTGACAAATAAATTGTACATATTTAGGATGTAAAATGAGAAGATTTGATATACATACACACTGTGAAATCATTACCACAGCTATGTTAATTAACATGCATTATCAACTCACATAATTACATGTTTCATGTGTGTGGAGAAAACCCTTAAGGTGCAGCCTTTGGGCAAATCTCAGGTACACAGTACAGTATTATCAGCTCTAACCAGCATGCTGTACAGCAGACCCCAAGGAGCAGTCACTCATGCTATGACTGAAAGTCTGTCCCCATGACCAACACCTGCCCACTCCATCCCCCACAGCTCCTGGCAACCACCTTTCTGTTTTCTGCTTTGGGGACTTTGAATTTTTTAATTTTATGTATAGGGACATTTATATAGTATTTGTTAGATGCACCCCCTACTCATTAGAAGTCTGGAGTCTTTGTATTTTAGTCTGAGTCTGGTCACCCAGGAAATCTTGCTAGGTCTGAGTTCAAGGATTGTCCAACACTGCATAGTCACTTTCAAGTGACTCCATCTACCTTTCTTTCATTTCACCCTAGGATACCCCTCCTCTGATCACCCAGGAAGCCAACCTTGGTGGCCGAGGACCAGTTGCACCCTGCCCTCCACCCCAGCCCAGAGCTCAGATTGGTCGTTTGTAAACGCTATAAGTTCCTACCTTTGATCACCAATTCTGTGGTGATTGGTGTGTGTGCACATATATGTGTGTGTGTCTCAGGTTCCAAGTGACCACACAAATCCCAAATGACCTCAAGGCAGAATACAGCTCACTCACCGTCTTGTTGACTTCCGTTATGCGGTATAACACAAACTGGTTGCCACTTTTGCTTCCACTGTTGTATTTCTGAAGAGCTGAGTCCACAGCCTTAAATACATCCTCATCATTGCAGTCGATTTCCTCCGAGTGGTGTTCCTGGGTTAAACTTGGTAGCAGTCTGGAGCAAAGGAGAAAGATGGCAATGAGCTTCATGATTTAACAGTCTCACCAACACTTGGGAGCTGCTTTGGATGCTGATGGTGACTCTCTTCAGCCTCTTGTCTCCTGTGTCTGTGCTTTCTCTGCTTGGATCCCTGCTGCCACCCACTGTTTGTCCTATTAACAAAGGGTAAACGGTTCTGCTGGGTTATCCAAGCAGATCTCAGGCTAGTACATTGCAACACTGGGGTCAGTGACAACATATGCTTGTTTGCATTTGGGGATCACATGGGAGCACAGAGCAAATTTCCATGTACTTGCACAACTGTGATAGGAGATCAGAGCAGAAACTAATAAAGGAGGAGAAAACAACACCAACCCCATGGTATTCCCTTTTCCAAATCACTTTCCAAAGCCATTTATGAAGGTCACTATGTGTGACAACTATGCCACCATGTGCAGACACCTTTCAATAAAATGTCTTTTTATACCTGGGAAACCACACACAGGGACATAGCAAGTGCAGGGAATCCCACCCCAGAACATGGGCGCAGCTAAAAATAAAAATGGGTATCCTGTATGGTCTCTGGACAAACCAGCCCCTCTCCACTCAATTGTTATTAGTGGTAGAAAGGAAAATGTTCCCCAGAATAGGAGGGACAGAGGAGAAGCATAAGGAGAGATGAGTTGAGTGGAGGCCACTCACCCTGTCCTTCCTTCTCATTTCTGATTTGGTTGACCTCAGGGAGTCTTTCATTCACCAAGCCTAAGTAAACTTTCTGATGAAGTCAGATGATTCAGAGAGAGGAGTTCCAGGGCTAGCCCTTAGTAGATGTTTGCCCTCATTTCTTACTCTCTTCCTCCACAAAAGATGTTTGAAGACTTTCTTGTTGTTGATAGGGTCTCTAGTTTTGTCTCCTGAGAGCCCCTGAAAAGAGGGGTCAGTGGGGCTGAATGATGATGGCCTCGTAGCCAAGTGGCAGGTACATGAACTTGGCAGTAAGTCCAACCTTGATTCCAGTGCAGCTCTGCTACTTGATGACTGTTATTCTGAGCCCATCATGATCATATAGCCTTTCTGAGCCTCAGATTCCTCATTTGGGAAAAATAAAAATTTTTCATGCCTAACGAGTTTTGTTTGAGGAGTAAATGAGATACCATCTGTGCAGGGCCTGGCAATTAGTTCTTATAAATTATGTCTAATATTAGAGTGGGATGGTTAAAGATTTCTGAGTTATAGAAGCAGATTCAGGTGTGTGGTGATGGCAGAAGATAGATTTTAGTGTGTGTTTGGGGGAAATGGGGGGTGTAGGAAATAAAACTAAGGGTGAAAGAGAATTGGTTATGTTCTTAGTCTGGGAAGACAGAGGAACCCCAAGGACAGAGAAGCTGAGAGTGAGGAGATGACTGATGTGCTCAGTCAGGATGAGCTGGGAAGGGGCACAGGCTGGTCACAGTGGGTGTTTCAAGTGGAGACTCAGAAACAGAAAATGGCAGTAATACAGGCGGCAAAATAAACAGGACAGCACTTGAGTTTGGAGGCACATCTGGTTCTAATTCCAGACCCACACTTTACTGACCATAACAGACATTAAACGTTCATACACTTTTTAGCTATCATGCAGAAAAAATCTAGACAAAGCAGCAATCAATGGCATCCTGTCTAATCCTGTAGCACAATGTAAGCTCCCTAGAGTAGGTGTTGTTTCTTACTCCATTATTCACTTGCACGAATGTGATTTGCATATTAGAGATGCATTTCAATGAAATAAATTGAGAAAGTTCAAGCCTAGGGCATCCAGGTAATATTTTCAGTAACTCAAGCAATATTTGTGAAAGTACTTTGTAAGTTAAAGAGCACTAGTCACACTCTTCTGTGAGTTATTAAACTATGTATTCTTTGTCTGGGGGTTCTTCCTGGATTTCCCCCATCTGTGCTTTCTACCCAAGCAGCCCACCCAGTGTTCACACCTGGTGAAGGAAGGGGGATTCTGCAGAGCCCACATTCAGCTGCTGCCACCCAGGCTGTTTATGGCTGGCAGCTGTTCTGACTGGTGGCTGCATCAGCTCTGTGGGTCAGTGCTGGTGTCATATTGGCTATTCAGTTATTTGGTATCATCACGTGGCTCCAGGAAGTGAAGTCTAGGGAGGAGCAGCAAATGGGCTGCCACCATCACCGTGTTTTAGAGAAGGAAGGTGTGGCCCAAGTAGGTTTAATAACTTTCTTAGGACCCTAGAGTCCATTCATTGTAAGAGTGGGCTTAGAACCCAGGTGGGCCTTCTCCACAGTCACATCCTTTCTTGTTTATTACACTACCTGAATACACCGCCAAGCTCTGCTTTCTGTCCCGTTTTACTAAGAAATAGTTGACATACATCACTGTATATGTGTACAGCATGATGCTTTGATTTACATATGTTACTTTTTGTAATATTAGCCAGGGTTAGAACAACAAAAATACCATACTTACCAAATTTTCTTACCTATTTTGGTTTACAACATAATATTATTAAAAGGTATTCATACATTTACTATAATTATGGTAGTCAAATATAAGAATATTACATATGTTGCTTTAAAAAATAAAGGTTTTATATTATATTTATAGCATAATTCCTTATTTGGAATGCACCTACCTATAAATATTTGAAGAAAACATTTCTGGAAAGTTACAACTGAAATTTCAACAGTAGTTTCACTTATTCAGTGACTTACAATAGAATTATTTGCTGTTTTATGTTATTCTGTATCTTCTAAATTATTGACACTGGGCATTTGAGTATGTACTATAAATAGTATATAAAAAGAAAGAATAAAAGACAATTAATAGTAAATTTTAACATTTAAACAAATATTTAAATATGAATAGTCTCAATCTTAGTCCCGTATTTGCCAGTCCTATGTTCTGGCTTTCATTTATTAATATTCACCTAGCACATATAACTACCATAGAGTTGTCTTGGGGTGGATAAGATTTAAGAACCAAGTATTACTGGATGTTCAAAATAGATTAAATACAGGAAAGAGGTATGTGCTCATACGAGCAAGTCACTGCCTATGTCTTTCTCCTCCTCTTGGTCCACCTGCTTCTCTCTCAGTCTAGATGGCCTCATTACAGGATTCTAGACTTTGGGGGAGGGTGGGCCAGAGCTGTCATCTTGCCCTGCCCTGCCCTGCTACCCAGCTCAGTAATCCATTCCAGAATACCTCAGACTTCCAGCCTCTACTTAGGCACCTCCAGAGATGTGGAGCTCAATTTTGGAGAGCCTCAGAGATATTGCAGGTTTGGTTCCAGTCTACAGCAATAAAGTGAGTGTGACAATAAAGTGAGTGTCACAATCTTTTTGCTGGTGGAGGCTCTTGCCTTCAATTTGTATAAAACACAACATCTGTGGGTCTCAGTAAAGCCAAGCACGATGAAACAAAGTATTCCCATACATTTGCCTGAAAAGCTTTTCCTCCTTTGTCTGCCTGGAGAACTTCTACTCATTTTTCAACATTTAAATCACTGTGCTGTTTCTGTGAGGCCCATGTGGCACAGGCATCTGCGGCTCTAAGTATGGACTCCAGTCAAGGAGACCCGGGTTCCATCCTTCCTCTCCTACTAACACTGGTTATGTGATCTTGGCCAGCTGATCTCACTTCCCTGAGCCTCAGTTTTCTCATCTGTGAAATGGGGTTCACTGATGTGATCGTGTGTATGGGATCTTCACATGGAGTCTGGCACACAGCACGTAACCCACCCCCCAAAAAGTGCTTGCTTGTATTCATTACTTCAGTGGCTTAGACCCTGACCTGCACATTAAAATCACCAGCAGAACTCTTAAAACATGACTGAATTGGTCTGGGGCGATGTTCCTAGTGAAATATTTTGAAACATTGGCCAAGTGATTATAAAGTATAGGCAGAGTAAGAAGTCTTACACCAGCAGCTCTAAACTATGGTCCCGGTACCAGTAGCCCCTGCATCTCCTGGGAACTCGTTAGAAACTCAAATTTCAGGACCTCACCACAGATGTGCTGAATGAGAAATTGTGGAAATGGCCCCATAAATCCAGGTTTTAACAAGTTTGCCAGGAGACTTGGATGAATGTGAAAGTTTGTGTACAATCACACTAGATTATCAGCTAAGTCAGGGTGTCAAACTCATTTTCACTGGGGGCCACACCAGACTCACTGTTTCCTTCAAAGCGCCAAATGTCATTTTAGGACTGTATAAATGTAACTACCCCTTAACCGTTAAGCAAGAGCTCAGTGCTGCCACCAGGTAGAAACAAGGTGCCAGGCCAGATCAGACAACGGGAAGGGGTGGATTTGGCCCATGGCAGGCCTTGTGTTTGCCACCTGTGAGCTAAGTGAAGGCATGAGCTGTGTTTGTCTTGTTCAGGGTCCTATACCTAAGGCTTAACCCTGTGCCATATGCAAATTCAGTTTACTTCAAATCAGTTCAATAATGTTTTAAGTCACTGTGCCTTGGTTCTGGGAAAATGATGTTGCAGGAGACAGGCCCTTGCCCTCTCAGCTTGCTTACTGCATCTCAGACTTTCTCATCCTGCTCTCACTGCCTTGTAAAGCACACCTCTACCTCCCATTGTAAACTTCATATACATTCCTATCTGCCTGTGTCTCCCACACTAAACTAAAATTCTTAGGGCAGGAAGAGCCTTTATGCATTTTCTTAGGAGATATTCTAATGCAGTTTCATTGCTGGGCCTAGTTCTGTCTTCAAAGCAATGGAATGTGTTTCCCTGATGTAAATTGGTAGCAGAAAAAAAGTCTGGTGTGTCAGTCAAAGTTTGATCAGGGAAGCAGAACCACACACACTAAGAGTCTTAGAGTATAAGGAATTTATCTTTGGAGTCAGACCTTACATGGGTGGTAGGAGCTAGGGAAGAAAGATCCAGGCTGAAGAAGTTAGAGGATCAAAGAAAAGTTACTAATCAGCCTTCCTCAGGCATTGGTACTGTAGGACAAGTTGAAGATTTTAGGGAAATCTGGACAAGCACATCTGGCTGCCAGAGGGACTGGAAAAGGGAGTTAGTGAAGAAACCTGATGAAGGCTGTGGTCCTAGTGGGTCTTGTGTGGCAGTAGGTCCACATAGGCAGGAGTGGGTGAGGGCTACGGGAAAAAGAAGGGACTATGAGGCCAGGCTTGAGCCCTTTAGCACCTCTGCATCCTCACTCAGGCATC